ACTTATTAAAGAGGACCAAATCAGAAGCTAAATGTCTAAAAAGAAAACACAAAATCACGGAGATAAAATTTACCCAAAGTACTCACGATTGGACTGCGTTGCTCATTTCAGTCTTCAAGTTCATTAATGCAGGTTTTGAGATGTTTGACTTTCACATCTTTGACTTGAAATGAAAAACAGCACAAACCTCGACTACGAAGAAAGTACATCCTGTTTCATTTCTAAAGTTTTACACACAATCAATACGTTCTCTCTGTCACTGTGCAGACGAGTGATTTACATCAGTCAGTGAGAAAAAAAAATGGTGTTTCATATTAGAAAAATCCTTGAATAATAAAATACTGTAGAGGTTTAGCTTTAAGGTTTTTATGACAGGATAGATTTATTTATTCTAAGGATAGAATGAAAAACAACATAATTGATGTTATGTTGTTTTTCATTGTGCTTTTGACTGTAGTGAGTATGTTGCGATAGTACTGATTACAAACCAGCACTGCATCTTTATAATTCGATGTAATTATCTGCTTCACTTGTATATTTTTCTGTGTAATTAGGGGCATATATACAGGACATACAGCTGACATAATAACATGAAATTGCTGTCCTGTGGACCCTGAAAGAGCGGTGTTACACAATTACTGCCAGTTTGAAAACAGAAAAAATACATAACCAAAGAAATCTGAATTTCTGTGAGATAGTGGCAGCTATAAACTACTGTCAAGATAATACAGATCACATAATCATATTTTTAGCCGGGTTCAAGGGTACCTCTTCATTCGACATGCATTCATTTAAGGATACAAAAAGTCAAGAAGAAAAAAGGTTTCAAACAAATTATGAAATTTGATCACCTGTATAACTGAGCTGCAAAGACAACAGTGAACTGTATCATCTAAAAGTCTGCAGGAGGAGAGCTGCTGCTAGATTTGTTTGTCATTTATTATCCTGGTGTTGGGGGCCACCATGTGGTGATAGTAAAGAACTGCATCACAGTACCTTTCAAACATATGAATAGGTTAATGATGCATCAGTTCATAATGTATGTATCACACATTAATGCATACATTAATTAATCCGGGAACTTAAAGTGTTTTTGAGGTGTCATTGGCACAGGAAGGGCCCGGACAGTTTCCTGACCCTTAAGTTGCAACCTTCACATTTTTCAAAGTAAAGTCCGACATCAGAGAGGTCAGTGGTTATTTTTAGTATTGAGGCATTTGTTATGATAGATTATCTACAGAAAATAGAGTTTCAGTAGCCAGCCTCAGCAGAGCCTCTGCCCTTGACTGCTGCCCGACATGCACCCATCACCTACTGGGGCCTCCTGCGTGTGGTGAGCCCACTGGTGGGTGGGCACATGTCACCTCTTCAGGCAGAGTGTAGAATAGAGCTTCTCCTCAAAAGGACCCAGATGAGGTGGCTCAGGCATCTGACTAGGATGCCTCCTGTGCAAGGTTTTAGGGTAGGCCCAGGATATACTGGAGGGATCATGTCTGACTTGGGAATGTCATGGTTTTTCCCAGATGAGCTCGAGGAGGTTCGTTCCAGCTACTGATGCAATTCCCCTTTGGTGTTGCATGTGGTGCAAGACTCAAAAGCAGCTTTTGTCTATTTATCCATTTATTCCTACAGCCACTTCTAAGCAGAGTACACTCAATGTTCTGGCCTCATGCGTAGATGCAAACAGCTATTCATGCTCACATTAACGCCATTTACCTTATACCTCGAAGTGCATGGAGTACATGGAAGAGAACAGCAACATGCTTCAGCTAGGATATGAATAACAGAGCTTATTAAACCTGTGTGTCAGCACTGCTTTGCGTCCTTAGTTCTCTGTGTGTGAAACTTACCATTTTAGTATTAGGACCTCATGACTGGATGCACAGATGTAGTTGGGGCTTCCAGCAGTCGGCTCTCCAGTTTTTCAGCAGTGTGAGATCCTAGCACGCTCTGATTCGCAGCTCTGCCTTTAGAGACTTCATTAAAAACCAAATAGTCTTACGGAAAGTATGAATCTACCTGTTACAGGGATGTTAAAAAAAATCAAACAGTGTAATGCATATCTCTTTACACACTACATAAAGATCTGCTCCAGGATCAAAGTACAACAGCTTCTCACATATGCAGTTCCAGCTGGTTGAGCAGGTGTCTTCAGGTTTCATTCCCTTTTCCAGGGGATGGATGTATGAAGCTATGCTTATGCGTTTTTCTACCCATTAACTGGTTTGTGCAGATTTCATGCATGCAAAAAGGCAGGTCGAGGTCAATAACATGAAGTGAAGATCAAAAAAAGAAATAGGTGGAGATGGATTCTTCCATTCTCCTTCACTTCGTGTCTTTGGGTCCTTCGCAGTGAACTTCACAGTCGATCATGAATCACTTTTCCTTCAGTGCTTATTTTTTTGTTTGTGTTTCCAAAACGGAGACAAACAGAACCCACGTTCCTTCCTCCAGTGAAGCACTTCTTCTTTGATGTTGTCTTAATTGCCATGTCTAATAACTTGAGATGCAAGCGATGATTTTATATGCAAAAGGTGACATAAGTGACTGCCTACTTACATTTCTTGACTAAAGATTGGAGCAGAAATGAGACTCGTGCATGTGCACCAGATTTCATGATAAGTTCTACAAAAGTGATCTGTGTGTAGACGTGACTGGAAAAATCTGAAAAAAGAGTGCCTTTGCACTTTGCTGCCTTTTGTGCATACACACAATTTTAGATGTTAATCAGTACAGAATCGTTTGCATTTGGAAGAGTTGGGTTTGGAGGTAGATTTTAAATGAAAGTCTAGACTCATAGCTCAGAGACTGACTCCTAGTTTCTGTAAAGTCAGCTTTCCAGCCCAGCAGGAAAGCTGTCAAAGCTCTAGACTGGAGTGGTTACATGAATAGCTTCGGTGCCATGATTTATTCCTCCTAGAGGCCTATCTGCCAACTAAAAGGCATTAAGCATTAGTCTGTGAAGTTCTACTCCTGATAGAATAATTCATTCACACTTACTTGGTGATGTAAAAGTGTTTTACAACTGCTATAAACTCCAAAGCAGACACAGAGATAAATTCCCATTTTTCTGTCGTCACTTTGTGGTGTTCTTAATGCACAGGAGCCTTTGCAGAACAGTGTGCGTGCAGGTCGGAGATGATGATGATGCAAAAGTGTGAAATGTAATCATAGGAGGTGAGAAAATACACTGAGGTACAGAAATGACTTCTATTAGTCTTTAACCCTCTCTTTGCTGTTTCTGTGCTTCAACACACAGACTCCAGCCTCAGGGAAACACAAGTTAGTGTACTCCTGTTGGCTTTCTCAAGCCTCGATGAATGTGAGGCTTGTGTCAGGGAAGGGCGTGTGGTGTAAAATCTGTGCCAAATCAAATATGTGGATCCAACTGCTGTGGCATCACCCTGGGAAATAAGAGAGTAGCTGCAAATACTGCAAAAAAGAAAAAGATGAAAAATTAAGAATATGATTGTTGCAACACCACCCACACACTGGTCAGCATCCACAGTATAGAGCAGCTCAGAATGACAGCATGAATACTGGATACAAACACACAAGTAACCTGTAAAACCATCAGTGTAGACACACGTTATTTTACATTTATAGTTTAAATGTAAAGTGACATTACATCACAGTAAGACTGTGTCTAAATTATTCACAACAAAGCAAACATTGTACAGATGACCTTCAAAGCCTCTTCTGTAATGAGTGTGATAGATTTAAGAACTCTTTCTTGAGCAAAACCAAACATGGCAAAAGTGCCAAAAGTAAAGTAAAAACTTCTTGTAGTAACGCTTGACAGGTCTGATATTTACAATTTTAAGTATATCAAGTAGCGAGTCAGCAGGATCACTGATTTGATTATTAAACTTAACACATTGTTAAGGTAAATAGTTTTACTTAAAAAAACAAAATTGTTATTATAATATCAAGTACTGCTTATTAAAAATAAACACTTAAAAAGAGACAATATAACATGAAGTATTACTTAATTTAAAAGGTTTTCCCTTATTTTAAGGTAAACAGCATAAATTAGGACATTTTACAATAAACCTAATCGATTTATCCTCACAGTTTCTATTTTATTTTATTTTTGTGTTTATTTCGTTTTCCAGTGTTTGAAAGAGACACGACTGTGCGTCTGTAACAGTGACAAACATCTCTGCCTCTGAACACAAACACACAAGAATCAAAGTCTAATCATCATACGACAGGAAACAATGACAATAATAATTTGGTGATTTTAACTTAAATACTTGTATTCAACGAGTCCGCGTGACAACCACCACAAACCTGATCTTCTTGACTTTGTAATTTGTAAATGAAACAAGTACACACAAATATACTCCTCAGTATGCAGGAAAACTGTTAAAAAATTCCCATTAGCGACGTAGTTAAATTAAGTAAGAGTCATTTCTGTGCTGGAGTCATTATGATTTTCCATTTTCTAATTAGATTTTATTTTAATTTATTTTGACTTTTTTCAGTTTACTGTGGTTTCAGTGAGTTTTCACAGTGGGTTTGCTCATTTCAGTTTAGATTTTAATGGTCCCAGTGCTAATGTTGGTCATTTTTAAAGAACAAAATTAATATTACATGGAGGAAAGATTTTAGGAAGTACAAGAAAACCTTTCTGAAAGCAGTTGATTCCCAAAGCTCCAAAGCTCCTCCTCTGGCAGGTTGTGATTATAAATTTTAGCAGGCAAACAAGAATATTTCCTGCATATTTTTGGTTTATATTAGTTTGTTTTACAAGTTTCCAATTTTGTAAAATTATTTCAGTTTGTTTTCATCTTTTTTCTAAACGTCTAGTTTTTATTTTTGAATCACCCGTAATGTTTTTGGTTTAGATTTCATTAGTGATAAAGGTTTTTCATACAGTACTTACCATTATTGTCCATTTTTCATTTAAAATCCTAAGAAGCACTCAGCTGCTCAACAATGACGTCTCGCTTCTTGCTTTAAAACGAATGACTCAGGATTGTTGATGATTAGGCAGGATAAAACTTTATTGATCAATAAAACATTTCTCTTTGACAAAGAGATATTTCATTGTTTCGTTTACATAAATAAATAGTGATTACATCATCTGCAATACCACCAATGTCGATATTGTACAAACAATTATGTCACATAGTCTTGATTTATTGTAAATTTGGTTGTCTGTGTGTGTGTGTGTGTGTGTGTGTGTGTGTGTGTGTGTGTGTGTGTGTGTGTGTGTGTGTGTGTGTGTGTGTGTGTGTGTTTAATGCATTTGTAACCACTGAAAGTGTAAGGATTTTTTACAAGCCCATGCAAAGCCTATAGCAACAGAGGAGTGGTTAGTATTGCTATTATAATCTCATGAAACTCTGCAGAATTGATAGTTTGATGCCTTTTCTTGGGTCAATGGGAAGTTCATTCATCATTACAAGCACACCAAAGATACACACATTTCAACAGAGCTGACAAATGGTCTGAATGATTTGGCACAGTTCATTAAGCTACAGAAGTGGTCATATTTCTGACATGTTTCAATGAAATAATGAAATGGTTTTCGTGTATCATGCCATTCTTCAATTAATGAGAGGTTTGTGCAACATATCATAACAAGATATTCATGTTTCAGGGTTCCTGTTATTAAGAGAGATGGAGAAAAATGAAAACAAAACATTTTAGATGACTTAAACGCAACTGCAGTGATCATCAGTTACATTTGACATTTTTGGCATTCAGTTGTTGCACAATCCCCACGACTGGCAGCAGCGAGTGCAACACTTTCAGAGACTATCCGTTGCTAAGGAGGAATCGAGTAACCAGGGCCTCAGTCGCAGCACCCGGACTAAACATTAGGGGGGTTTGAATGCACACAACAGATGTGGCATGAAAATAAAAGCAAGTGCAAAGAAGAGAGGTAGAAAGGATTTTGCTGCCAACTTCAAAACAGTGTCCACTTTATCCAACATAGCAGTTTACTTTAAATGAGCAACAGAGCTACTGTAAAGCATGATGAGTTTGTTCTGTGCCTTACACTGTGGCTTTAGCATGTAAACACTGAGCTTTGCTAGTAAAAGCCATTGTAAAGATTGTCTTCTATGCATTAAAGAGGGAGAGGGGCATTACAAATCAGTGTGCTGTTGGTGAGTAGAAATGGTGCGAGCTGAATCACACCTTCACTTTATATCTTAATCATATTCTTCACACAATGAAACTAAAGATAATACCAATAATTCTGCACCACGTCCAGCCGACTCAGAGTTGATAATTACAGTGCAGAGTGGATGTAGGCCTCTCCACAGCCAGTGCCCAAGGCTTTCAGCTGGGGATAAATTTACACGACTGAATATTAATTAAGACTGCTGTTGTGACAATTCCAGCCACAAGAGGGCGCACATACATCATGGCTCCACCAGCTGAATACTGAATATGAGTCTATATGTTGCTTTTAAATGCCCAGTTTTTACATGCTTGGTTATCTAATATCTGAGCTTGTAATACCTACAGTATTATAGTAAAATATTAGCGATTTGTGCTAGCAGGTAATATGTGGACGTGATCACCTGTAACTTTTTCAGCATGTTAAAGAAATTGTTTTTATAAGTGAAGTTTGCCTTGGACAGCATTGCTGGAATCCGCCTACATCCAGTCAGATATTTTCACCTACAGTGCAAAAAACTTACAGTAAGACTCATCATTTTATGTCAACGATAATCTACAGTAATATGTAAAACGACATTTACAGTATATGCACACTACGGAGTAAACATTTGTAATTATACGCAACATTGATCAGTCTGTACTTTAACTATATATTGTCTACTCTCACGTCAGCCGTACAGCACTGTGACGATGTGTGACCTTTTGATACTGATGCACCCAAACAATGCGGCGAACATATTTACAGACCGTGTGCTTCGTATTTACATTCCATTCATTGCACGGAGTAATGACTGATAACGGAATGGAAACATGCAGGACAAAGAGGAAGCACAGACGAACACTGTCTCTGCCAATGACATTTTACAGGCTGTGTGATCTCTGACACTGTGCTTAGAGCCACCGCTGCTTTAATGGTTCAAACATCGTGCTTACAGACAAAATGAGGAGAATAAGCGGCATTAATGAACCTAATAAATCCCAGACCAAATTAACAACATAAACAAATGGGTTTGGTGCCCATGTCGTCACGATTCATGAGTTTTAATTGTTAGTCTGAACACAAACATGTCTGCTTTTCCTAAAAATGACTTCACTATAAGCTTTAAGCAAAAGGTTAATTAAATAAAGCACAGCCTAAGGTCAGTCAGACCACAGCTGAGTGACAAATTCCACATCAAGCAGTCTGTGTAGCATTGTTTTAGGCTGCAAGCTGCTTTGGAACCCACCATCACTGCTCCTACTCTTTGCCATACTTTCTAAATTAATGCTATCTTTGTTGTTCTGTGGCTCTGGTACAAATTGCTGCACACAGAAATAAAAAAAATTTCACTTCTAAAGTGATCCTTTCTGAAATATTGAGCAGAGTGTGCAGTGTAATATAAATGGGAGAAATACATTGAGATTTGTGCTCTTATGTTTCATTTTATGACAAGTGCTTGTACTTGGTGTCTCCAGTCCTCTCTGTTTCTCGTTAGCTTTAGGTGTAGCGTTCGTAGGTGCTTTTGTGTTCAGAGGTAGCAGCATTTGCTGACTCAGCATGCTCTGCCTGAGTCTCTCTCCCTGCTTCCTGCTTCCTCTCTCGCTGTCTTCCCGATACAAACTAGGAGGTAGAAAGGCTGCACTGACATGAGGAGGGTGATGACAAGTTTTCATTTCATCTCTGTCCTATGTGCTTTACGATAACCAGAAAACTACAAAATAAATAACGAAATAAGTTAGCCGGCAGCCTCCGTTTATTACAGGGTCACAAATAAAACACGTTCCTGAAGCGAGTTTTGGGATAACATGCATTATTTTCACTTAAGCAAAACCTACAATCTTTCCTATTGGTTTGAAAAAAAATTCAGCTATGGCTTCAATGATGTCCTCTTAGCAGCAAGTGATGTATGTCCAACTTGAACAAATCCAAAGCAGTTCTTGAATATTTCTTCTGTTTTGTGTCATCGTTTCTTCTTTTTATTGGTGCTTTATTGTACAAAACGCAAAGACGAGGAGAAATAATCAGAAATACTTCCTTTATAGGAGGATACTCTTCCATCACGTCCTTCTCAGAATCTCTCAGGTCTGTGTGTGTGTGTGTGTGTGTGTGTGTGTGTGTGTGTGTGTGTGTGTGTGTGTGTGTGTGTCTGACACATGTATTAATCTTTAAATGTATGTACAGTATGTACAGATTGTGTGTGTGTGTGTGTATACATGTCTATGGGAGTGTGTACGGTCCCTGTCAGTGTGTAATGAAATGTGGATGAACAGGTGTATGAAATACAGAGAGAGGCGGGGCAGGAGGCACCCAGGTGTGCAGGTGCGTGAGTATGTTAGAACCTGCTCGTCTGGTCGGCACACAGGTCTCTCATTCAAAGCGCTCGTAGTTCCTTGTCTGTCTCACACGGGGAACCATGTCCTTCAGGAGCCTGTGGGCAAAGAAACAAATTCTAATTGTAAGATACGTCAGCAAAAATGGCCGTTCATGCAGGCGCAGGTACAGAGCTGCTGAGCTGTATCGGTGCCATTAGCATCGTGTAAATAATGCCTTAATAACTATAAAAGATTAAAGATTTCAGATTCGACACTGCTGCTGCTTCATGTCTTACTTGACCCCATATGCCAAAATAATAAGTCCCATTAGAACTCCAATGGTGGCATCCAGAAACCAGACGTCAGTATGATGCTTGAAAACTTCGGCGCTGATTAGAATGGAAAATCCCATGATTGCTCCAACCAGAGAATTAAACCCTGAAAAACAAACAAATTTAGGTGAGGACAAATAAAAAACAACATTTCTGTTAACAATGACAGTCTTTTCCTGACCTTAATGTAGTTGTTTTAGTTGGACAGATACGGTGAAATGAAGGACCAACATGTTATGTGTGGTGGTGGTAGCTCACTCCGGGCCACAAGGGCTGGTGTCCTGCAGGTTTTAGATGTGTCTTTGATCCAATGCAGCTGATTTAAATGGCTAAATGGCCTTAACATGTCTTGGAGTTCTCCAGAAGCCTGGTAATGAACTAATCGTTTGATTCAGGTGTGCTGACCCAGGGTGAGATCTAAAACCTGCAGGACACCGGCCCTCGAAGCCTGGAGTTCCCCACCCCTGATTTAGAGGACCTGGTGAGAAGCAGCATTCCCTCAGAGAAAGGATTAACAGGTGGGATAAAATATGAACATGTATCATCTCCATTTCACTTTGAAACACAAACTAAATGTAAACTTGTATGTATGATCTTTAAGTTGTATCAATATCCATTTTAAAGGATAAATCTGAAGCTACAGCTGAGCTTATGTATATTCTTCTGGTAGGTGTCGGATCAACATTTTGCAGCTGTTTTGAAGTCCTACATAAATGGCTCCACACTACATATACTGTGTTTGAATGACCCTTTATAGTGGCTGATGTTGTTCTTTATAATTACATGTGTGAAAGCTAGCACGGTGGGTTATTGTCTTGCCTGCAGTAAGTGTAGAGTCTTGTGGGAAATAAGAGGCTCAGAGAACAGCAACCTCAGGTTTATTGGATTGATGCCCTGTGTGTTTTGAGACCTGGGGATAGCAGTGTGTGTTTGCCAGAGACACTGTGTGTGTGTGTGTGTGTGTGTGTGTGTGTGTGTGTGTGTGTGTGTGTGTGTGTGTGTGTGTGTGTGTGTGTGTGTGCGTGTGTGTATGCTGTGCTTTTGTTCAGCTGAGCACGTGCCTACGAGCAGCGGGTCATCACAAACGACATTTTTTTCAGTTCATTTGTGTTAGAAAGTCACACAATAAACACAAGCAGGCATGTTCTGGTTTGCAATGTTTGTTTCAGCTGCGTGTGTTTTATTTCCTTTGGTTTAATGTGTTGGCACAAATATTCTGCTTCCAAAGGCTTTGATGGTGCAGATGTTTTAAAATGCCACAGTCGTTTTGTGGGTTTGAATTATTATGAATTGATCTAAGAATAATAACTCTGTTCTGACTTTTCATTTTAGTGACGATTTTTAGTTTTTCCTCATTTTGAGTGAGTTCATAGTGAGTTCTCTGTTTTTGTTGTCTCCATCTCATTGATGTACCTGGTTATGTCCATGCTTAGGTTAATCTCCAGTGTCAGTTCTCTTTTTTGAGGGGTATAGAAAGAGAGATTAAGGGGTTAGCGAGCTTTGTCAGACTTTTCTGCGTCACAAAAGTGAGTAAATCACGTGGTAACTTCTGAACACATAACCTGATTCAGGTCATGGGTTTTGGGTTAAAATCTGCAGGAAGTGCCAAGTTTTCACAAATTTTTTATGTACTGTTTGAGTGCCCTTTCATGTGTGTGCACCTGTGTCTCATTCAGCCCTGTCCTCCTGTAATCTGTTATTATTCTGTGCAGCTTATCCTCAGACTGTCTGTGAATTGCTGTTTTTGATACACTTTGTTAGTTTTGGACTTTTTTGTTTCAGGTGTGTCTTTAAGTAATTAGATTCTGAATCCTGCGTCCTACATTTGGGTGCTGGTTCCTGCACTTCACCACCACAACATGACAGAAGCTCAAAGAGCAGATAAAATATGGTGCATACACTTAATCCAAGAATATTAGCTTCCTCTGGCTCACCTAAAACCCTGGAAACTTCTGACAAGTTAATGCATCAGTGATACTAATCCACTCATAATTAATGTCATTCCGAAAGTGGCCACGATGCTTCATGAAAACTGTTGTGTATTTTGTAAAACTCTCGTATTTTTCATTCTTGTGTTATCTGTGATATCATTAGAACTTTGATACGTTTGCTGTTGTTAGAAGAATTTCACTTGGTAGTTAAAAATGTAATCATACCAGATGGAAAATGTTGGGTTTGAACAACTTAATTACGATTTTATTAATTCATATGAATATACCAAATAAATGCACATGTTTTAACTCCACTCTAAGTCTCCCTCTTTAGGGACAGTGTCTTCCCTCTTGATAATTCAAACAACTGAAAGTTGCTTATGCTTTAAGTCACCTATCTAGTTATCTAGTCCCTCGTGCTCTTCTGTTGTGTTCTTCATTTATTTATAGTCATCAGTGTCCGTGCATGTGCGTGTGTGTGTGTGTGTGTGTGTGTGTGTGTGTGTGTGTGTGTGTGTGTGTGTGTGTGTGTGTGTGTGTGTCCTACCATCAGTGATAAGTGCCCGACTAGTCAGCACTCTTCCCAGCATGAACTTGGCCACAGCCAGCACAGCACATGTGAGCCCACTCACTATGGACACACTAAAGAGGAAGTCGTCCTGGGGTGAGACACGGGAGACAAAATATAAGAGAATATGGCAATATTTGTAAAAGTATGCAGAGTGAAATTAAAGGTTTCATTCTAAAAAACAAACAAAAGTTCAGCAAAAACACAGAGGGAGCTACTGTATAGCTGCAGAGCAGGAACCAACAGATTGTGTGACCCATAAAGCTTCTGTCAGCTCAAGCATTATTAATATATACAGGCTCGCCTTGGTGCATCAGCCCAAGGTCATACAGATGAAGTGATGTGAGCTTTGGGTGTTTTCAGGTTGTGTCTCAAACAGACTCAGCAAAAGAAAAAAAGGAAAACGCTTGACTCGAGAGCATCCACCTTTCAGATTTAATTGACCCGCAGCAGGGACTGAGAGCCGGAGATGAGAGGAAGAGAAGAGCCTAAAGGACACGTCTGAGGGGGAAACAGCCACATTGTTTTTGTTTTGACTTTGCTGTTCTCCACCAGATTTAAAGTCACAGCTATATCAAACATATCGGGATATTATAAAGCGGCATAAACTACCTGCTAATAAAACCCCAACTGTATTAGAAAAACATGCACACAAATCAGAGTAACTGCACTTCAACATTTAGGAAAACTAAAATTTTGGAAACGGCTGATTCCATCCTCCTATTTTCAGATGTTAATCTCACCTGCTGGAATCTTTTGAGTAGATTTACAAAGTTAAATTAAAGGCATTAGGCCTAAAATGCTGTTGTGGGCGAGTGAAAAACAGACGTGGATCTAACAAATGTTTTTTTATTGCAATTAATAATAAACTATAATTAACAATCAATAGTTGGCTCTATGTAATGTAAGGAAGCAGTGATCAATGTCTTTGCTAGTTAGGTCTCTAAAACGAATTTGTTTTTTGTGTTGTATATATTTAGCTGCATTTGCTGACTGATACTTTCAGTCTTAGTGACTGATTGGTATCAGTTTGTTTTATTACAATACTAAACAGATGCTAGTAGATGATCAGTTTGACCCCATGTAATCCCAGCAGACCCTCATCCAGTTTCAGAATTGTTGGGAAAAGCCACTCACTTGTTCCCTTAGAAGATGCTTATTAGTTAGTGTGCAGAGAATCATTTTTACAAGGGCAGCATCGTACAACAGCAACCTTTGCAAAGAACAAGAAGTATTGCATTGTAAGCAGATCTGTCCTCATTTTATCCACTGTACAGTTTTTGTAAAGTACACCCTCTTTATGTATTGCTTTATATATAATTTATGTATCAGGATATGATAAAAAAAAAAGAGCAGCTATTAAAATGAGGAAAATAAAAGCTCAGATGAACAGCAAAACAAGCAAAACACATTACACAGTGATTAAGCGAAATAGAGGAACAGTGTTTGAAAACTAAATACACTGTTTGCATAGAAACCAAGAGAAGTAGCAGAAGTTTGTATGAGTTTGTAGGTGTGGACCATTCAGCTGTGTGTTAACACAGTGCCAAGGAGGGGAGACATCAGTAATACAGACACTGAAGACAGTCTTCTGAGGTGAGGATTAACCCAAGAGTCAGATTGTGCAATGCTCAGAGAAACTGCAAAAAACCCCAAGAGCTACATCTCAAACTCCACCGGCTACTGTAGCATGTTCAGGGTTAAAGTTTATGAATTAGAAAAAGACTGAACAAGTATGGCTTCAAAGGGTTACCAGGAGAAACCCTCTCCTCTGTGAAAAAACAAGGCAGCACAGCTTAAGTTTGCAAAGCTGCAAAGGACTTGAGCGCCTTTGTGTGGAGCCACTGAGGTGACCAAGTGTTCCAGAGTCAAATCTGTCTGACATGCTGGTGCAGATGGGGTCATGCAACAGGACAGTGATTCTAAGCACAGCAGCAAATCTACAACAAAATGTCAGAAAAAAAGATTTAAGAATTAAGATGTTGCAATAGCCCAGAGTCCAGATCTCCATCTGATTAAGATACTGTGGCAGGACCTTAAAGAAGAAGAATGACAAACGTCAGTGAACTGAGGTAGTAAAGAAGAGTGGGCTAGCATTCCTCTACGACCGTGTGAGAGACTGACAAAGTTGTAGAAACAATAATTTCTTCCAGTTATTGCTGGTAAAGGTGGTTCTACAAGCTCTCCAATCATGGGGTGTACTTCGTTTTTCACACTGCTTTTTATATTTTGGCTCAGTGTTTGAATAAATAACTAACGACCAATATGTCCCATGTTCGTTTTTCTTAAATCTGAGGTTAATCTCAGGTTGCATTTACATAACTTTACATACTTTATGTCCTGATATGTTACATTTTTAGCCATCTGTGCCTTTCTTACTCCTACGTATTTGACATAGATGGAGTCACTTTTGTCCTTTTTCAGAAATCTGACCACACTGAAGTATTTTTGCATTTCATGAGATAAAAACAATCATACAGTTATATATCTATAAAATATATTTAATATACATTAATGTCAGCACAGTCTTGGTCTGAGACCTTTTTGTGGTGCATCTGTAGTGTTTGCTTTCATAAGGCAACAAGAGGTTTCCTTTCCATTGCAAGTATCTCCCAATAAATCCATAATTAAAAAGTAAATTTCACTTATATCTCTGTGTAAAGTGGATAAAAAGCAGCCTGTCTGTGACTGCATGGTGTGTACTGTATGTATGTGTTGCATGGCTATGTGCTGCTCTCTCTCCCAAGCACAGAGCTGGTGGGGGCCAATCTCATCTCTCTGTGTTTAATCAGGCACTAGACACCGACAGCCTGCCATGAGAGCGAAACCAAGGACGTGACATGAATCCAGATTCCCTTTCTGCAACCTGCATTTACACAATATGAATTTACAGACCAGTACTTGTTCTTACTTACTACTGTTTTTGGGGGGGTGTTATACTGAATGTGTTAGTAAGGAGAAAACTGGATAAATAAGAAGAAGATGAGATCCTTCCATCCTTCAAACTCCTGTATTTAACCAAGGAAAGAAGCCAATGACAGTGTTTACATAAAAATACAGAGCCAGATGGCTGACATCACTCTTAAACAAACTGATAATTAACCAGATGTGAGTTATTCACTGAGAACCATTCATTGCTTTTTATCCTCTTACAATGTCAAATACACCAAGAGGCCAAATATTAATAGAGTACATGCATGTTTATCATAAATATAGAGCCTGAAATGGAAGAAAGATTGATGCTGAAAACACGAGACACGTCAAAGAAATGTCCCAGAGACAGGCAGCGGTAATCGGCTCGTGCTGCTGTCAGGAAGGTCCTCTGAGACCAAACAGACAGAGTTTCTATTAACATAATGGCACTGAAGCATCACACACAGGCTGCAGAATAGATGCAGCCGTCTCTTGGCTGTACCCACTTCAATCTGTGCTAAAAGGGGCTTCAGTGACTCAATTTTTGTTTTACTTTTTATTTATGTTTTTGTTTTTTCGCTTTATCCCAGTTCAAACAATTGATTCTCATGTTGTTTAATTCATTGTTCAGACTCTATTGATATGCACAGCAGTTACAGTTTTGCTCTATGTGTCAGTTTTCTAATTGGTCCACTGCTGCTGGCTTTTAATGTCCTGCTAATTTATGCCACTAATGAAGCAGTTGGTGCAAAGAGAAGATTCTCTGCCTGGAATTGAACAAATTAAGACCAAAATGTGTCTGGGTCTAAATGATCTTAACGAGATGAAACTCTGAGGTGAATACACGTAATAACTATTAAGAGATCACATGAAAAAGCACAGAGTAAATGCCAAGAGCAGTGACTCTTCTGGAACATTGAACAGTTACATGCATGCACTTGACAGATTATGAAATGAACAACGCCCAAAGAATAGTCCTGTAATAAATTCTTGTTTTGTAGCATTTGCAACGTTTTGGTGTTGGGAAGTTGTTTTAGAGAAATGTTAAAATACACCAGCTTGGAAAACAAAGATTTTGGTACTGGCAGAACTTTTCTCATCTGTTATTATCCAAAAGGAAGACTTTTAGATTGTGCTGCATTTATGTTATTTAATTTTATTAAATCAATGTTTCTGAGACAAAAAGGGTGTTTGTACACTAGAACTAGGTGTATACCCCAAAATCAAAAAGTGCCTCACTCCATTTCTTGCACCCTGGTGATTCCAGAGCATCTTTGTGAGCTGGATAGATACATCGACACGCTGGTAACCTTTATGGACATCTGAGTTGATGTTGGACGAATGTCATTAGCAATCACTGTATTGTTTTTCATGTCATTCATGCATTAATTAAACTGCAGTTTGCATGTAAGTGGTTTAATAACTTAGTTGTGATGCTTTACAGCACAGGCACAACTCTACTGCAGTCTTTGCATGTGATATTTTTCCTGCCCTATATCCAAAATATTTCTCTCCCTCTTCTCTGGTTAGTGAAATGGACACATGGTTAGGGTTAAATCATTTACACACCAAGAGGGTCTCAAAGCTGAGAGTGAGAAACATTCTCAGTCTGATGGTGAGAGAGCTGGGCTGTACCCCAGCAACAGAAAGAAGAGACTATTTTGGGACCTTATTCATACTCCTACACCTCCAGAGAGCGGTGGTGGGGGAGGTGGAGCTGGCATTAAAGAAAAAGAGTGTCTGTGTGTGTGTGTGTGTCTGCGCATGTCTGTGTCAAAAACAAAAAGCAAACAAACGTCAGGTGGAGGGAGACATAAGCTCTGACGTCAGAAGAACAGCAGCGGAGGGCTATAAAAAGAAACCTTACTCACAGTGATGTGTGTGTGTGCTGCTCTGTTTGTGTGTATGGCACTAGAAAATAAATCATTATCCATCATTACAAATATACACAGATCACAAAAAACATCCTGTTTATGTCTATATCTCCAGAACTGCAGCTCTGTGAGGTGTTCCCGGTCTGCAGCAGTCCGTTTCTATTAGCAACAGGGTCACGGGTTGCCAACGGTCACTGAGCTACAGCTGCAATAAAAGTTCATGCTGGTTCTCATAAAAGCCAGAATACACAAAGCATCAGAGTTTGTTGTGTATGGAGCTGCAGACCAGTCAGGGTGCCCATGCTGACCCCCGTCCACCACCGAAAGCGCCGACAATGGACACGTGAGCATCAGAACTGGACCACAGAGCAATGGAAGAAGGTATGTCAGTCTGACGAATGATGATTTCTTTACCGGGTGACTGTGCGTCACTTACCTGGGGAATGCCTGGGAACAGGACACACCATGGTGTACCTCCTACCTAAGCATTGTTGCAAATCATAAACATCCTTTCATGGAAACAGTACTCCCTGATGGTTGGTTGGCTGGATGGCTGTATCTATGAAGCGCCTTGAGGCGACTTATGTTGTGATTTGGCGCTATATAAATAAAATTGAATTGAATTGAATTGAATTGAATTGTGGCCTCTATCAACAGGATAATGTGCCACCAATCAGAAATGGTTCAGGAATGATTTGAGGAACACAACAACCAGTTTGAGTTGTTGACTTGGCCTCCAAATCCCCCAGATCTCCATCAAATTGGGTATCTCTGGGATGTGATGAATAAAGTAGTCCAATCCATGGAGGCCTCACCTCACAGCTAACAGGACTATTGCTAACATCTTGGTGCAGATACCACAGCACACCTTCAGGGGTCTAGTCCACGCCTGGACAGTCAGGGGATCAACACAATATTAGGCAGGTGCTCATAATATCATGCCAGATTGGTGCATGCATGTGAATGTGTGAGTATAGTATGTGTTGTGAGCCACACACTCTAGTCACATGTACTTTTTCTTTAAAAAAATGTATTATCAGTGCACAAAGACACAAAGGCCAAACATTAAAACATTATTCATAATATATCATAATATCAGAAAAGATCACCATTAGAAAAGAGCCACAGCCAGTTCTGAAGTAAACAGTTTTTTCATTATTGAACTCAGTTTACTTGTCATGACATGTACTGAAAACAGATTAGATACACTATATTAGAGCATGATGTCTTCTGTGGCTTCCCAAATTGGAAAAAGTAATTTTCACAATGCCATCAGAGCGGGCTGTTTCCCAGAGAAATGTTCTTCTATTTGTTGAGCTGGTCTTACTTCACTGTGATTGGCTGAACTATTTCAGAGTTCAGTTATTAGACCACATAAATGGGACTAGTGGAGAGTGTCTATTTATCTTTCAATATATTTTCAGTTTTACTCTGAATCTTTTTGCAGTTTCTGCCAAATAAATGCCAAATCACTCGCCCACGCATCCTTTGAATCCATTGCTTTAAATTGTTCTCTATGCAAGATTTAAGACAGGCTTTTTAAACCCACTCACTATGCAATGAAAATGTATCAGTCAATATTGGAAAGTTATGCAGAGTTATGAAATCAGTGTTCAGAATATATATTTGAGGGTTTGTCAGACCCGACAACAGTAACAGTAATATCTGGTTGCATTATGTAAAATACTTTTTAGGGAGGTTAGGGAGAGACAAAAATCACAATTAAGTCAAAGCTGTAACTTTCCTTTATCTAAATTACACAAAGAAAGTGTCGGTGCAGTGTGAGCCAGCGTCTGTGTCCATATAGTGTGTGTGCATGTAGCCTCACCACTTTGGGGGGCATCCTGGTAGCCAGATCGTGGATGGCCTTTCCAAGAATACAAATAGAGGAGAGAACGAACACAACCCCAAGGACGACACATGCTCTGCAGACAAACAGGCAAAAGAAGAAGGTATGACGATTACTGATGTTGTAATAACCCAAAGGAGCTTAAAGGGGAGCAGCAATGCTTTCCTAAGGTCTTATTATTTTTACATCCATCATGATTGCTGCTTTTGCATTTCACAACAAAAACATCTTTCACATAATAGTTTCAGTGTTTGACAGACATTTGACAACATCTTTACATTCTTTTATTTTTAGTGATATTTGTTAAAAACATGGCAAATAATCAAAAAGTTCCAGCTACTGGAACCTGCACGGGTAAAGTATGAATGCATGAAAAATGTCAACGAGCAAACAAATAATGGATGTGCAGAGATGTTGCATAGACACTTTAACATGTCTTGATCACACAGGGCTAATTAGGGGAAGTAAACAGCTGGGAAAAACACAGATGCATACAGTTAAGGTAATGAGATAGAGGAAGTAAAGGAGCAACTATTACAGAAATACAGCCGGAAATAAAAAATAAATCCCAAATCGAACTTAACATACGGGAATTGACACAGGAAGTGGAAAGAAAACGTGGAGGGAAATAAATATATAATAATACAAACAAGCAGAAGGACTCAAAATATATAACAATATGCACTAGGATGAAAACTGAGCCAATAAACAAACTAAAAAAAAACAAATAAAGAATACTAAATAAACAAAAACCCAGCACCCAAGGGCCAAGACTGGGAACCATGAGGACATTATTTTGGTCACTACCCAGAGCTCATGGCCATTGGAACATAGACTGACTGATGGCTTTGCTTTCACACTCATCTCTCTTCACCCCATCAGATCAACGTAGTATCCTCATTACTGAAAACACTGCACCGGTCCATCACTTGTTCCACTCTCACTTCTTTCATGAACAAGACCCTGAGCAGTAGCGGTTTTTGGCGACACGGGCGTTTGCCCGGGGCGGCATCACGGGCAAAAAAAAAAAAAAAAAAAAAAGATTGTTCGTACTCATGCTGCCCCGACATCAGCCAGCGCATATTGGGAATGCCAGAGGCACCGATCGGCTTTCTATCGCCCATTTGCTGGGAGTAAGGGCGCCCTCCGTGTGCGAGGTGCGCCTGCTGCTTGTGGCACAGGGAGGAGAGGGCGGGGCGGCATCTAATAACCAACTCGCAAAATAAAACAAAATAAAACAAAATAAAAACAAGCCAACAAACACAAAACACCAGACATCATGATACAGACTTATAATTTGCACAGATGTTTTTTTCGAAATTCTATACGCGAAAAGTGAGCGCGAGAGCCCTCGGTGCGCCTGCTCGCAGCTGAAGTCAAAGTAAACTTTATTGTCATCTCCGCTACATACAGTGCAGTATATAGAGAGATGAGACGATGAGGCTGCAGTTACAGCAGTAAACAAACAATATATATCTATAAGAAGAGTAAGAAAATAAATATACACTTTAGGACTCGGGGTAAAGGGATCAACAACAATTTCAAATTTCAAATTTACAGTTTGATGATTTAAAGTCTCACACACAACCTGTCGGCTGCTTCCAAATAGAGCACATTTCATTCATAATGTTGTAAATCCAAGCCCATCATGTATTCATGATTTGAATCCTGGGTTGTGTGAAATCTCAGAAATGCACCTTAGACAAAGTGAATCTGTGAACTAAGGTGTAGGTGTGTTAGATCATGTTGTGGCGATCCTCGGGTTGAGGGATTTGTGTTCATACTGGAGTGCAAAATTAAAACCAGTGGAAGATGGACAAGAAAAGTTCAAAGCCATCAGGTGCTCAGTTTAGAAAAACTAGAAAAGAAGAGGAGGAGAAACGATACAGGTAAGCAGATGTGTGATTGGATAATGGCAGGTCATCCTGAAACAATCAGAATCAGAATACTTTATTAATCCCTGAGGAAACTATGCGTGTTAGAGTTGCTCCAAGAAGAAATGGTAAAAATAGCAACAGTAACAAACTAAACTCCAAACAATACATTATGTTACAGATTTTACACATTTAAGAAATAGCACTAATCAGATCAGTCAATTATAAATATCAAGGATTAACAGAGGGGATTATAAATAAATATCAAGAAAATTGACAAGAATATTACATCAGAGTAGAAAAGAGCGTGTGTAAAAAGGGTGTAACTATTGCAGGGGTGCCAGAGGGAGTGCCCAGGGCGCCAAACAGGCTAGGACCGCCACTGACCCTGAGAAACCCAGGGCAGCAAGTTGTCCCTATGTTGAATCATATTGGGAGGTGCCTGATGAAGAACCACAAAAATCTGAGAGGTGATCCTGAGGCCACTAAACCTGTCTAGAAGCTAGTCCATAAAGGTGGGATTAGAATGATGACCTCAGTGGCACTATCAGTAGTAGTAAGCCTATCCTTGCATCTTTTACATGAACCAATCTCCAGGAAGTAAAACATCTTGCCTCATTTGCAATGATATGCTCACACTTTTTTCTACTTTTCTAACATTACACTTTAATTTTCTACAGAAAGAACATTAATATAATATAAATTGGGTGTTTTGTGGTTTGTGTGTGTCTCTGCATCCAGCTGACAGCACTAACAGAGAAAAAGATCCCACGTGTGCATGTGAGTGACTCCGTGTGAGTTAATGGACAGTGGAGAGGCAGCTCGGTCTTTCATTATCTGTAACACCTCTGAGCTACACAGAGGTGTTCTTGCAAGACAAACAGGGCTCCATACAGCCTGACAGCTAATTGATTCATTCAGCTAAGCCACAGCAGCCCTAAAACCTGGTGGATTAACGCACGTGTAGCAGTGACACATTTACAGTAACGACACACAGTTAATGGCTCATCAATAAGGATTCACTTCTCTCCATCCTGCAATTTAAGAAGCACCTTTTCTGAAATTGTTTAATCTGGGTATACTGAACATAAGCAAGAGCCTAACGGGGAAAATTATTTAGACCTTCAAAGGGAAGATTAAATTAAAGCTATCGTGGCAATATTCTCTCTACTGGAACTACGGATTTTAAAATTGTCAAGTATAAAAAAACATTTAAAAAATCCACATAAAATCAAAAACAGACTGCAACAATTTGCAAATCTCATAAACCCAAATAAAACATAGAAAACATAGCAAATAAGACACTCATTTTGAACTTGATGGAGCAACAAGCGTCCCTTCTTCTTTGAAGAACTGTGTAAACGTCTGCGAACTGAGATTCAAGCTGCTCAGCAGTCCTGAGTCTTCTTTGTCATATTTTTCTGTGTCATGATGCTCCAGATGTTCTCAGCTGGTCCAGGTCCAGACTGCAGGCAGGCGGGTTCAGGACCCGGACACCCGAACAGTTTAGTATTGTCTTGCTGAAATATGGTCTCATCTGGAAAAATGTCATCTTCATGGGAGGACATGTTCCTCTAAAACAGGGCTGGGGGAACTCCAGGGCTCAAGGGCCGGTGTCCTGCAGATGTGCAAAACGCACATCTGCCTTTCCAGGTGTGCAAGCATGCATGCTTTCCAAAAATAATTTCCACTTTGGATTTGTTTGGACCTCAGAACACTTTTCCATTTTGATTGAGTTCACTTTAAATGAACTTTGGTCCAGAGAAGACAGCTGCCTTTCCAAATCCTGTTCATGTGTGGCTCCTTCTCTCCATGTTGGAGCTTTAACCTGCATTTGTGGATGGCACAGTGTGCTCCTGAGTCCATGCGGTGATTTCTATTGAAGAACAACGCCTGATGTTATTGCAGTGCTGCCCAAGGGCCCAAAGATCAGAGAAAATATTGATTTTCAGCCTTGTCCCATTCACACAGATATTTATTCTAATATTCAGAAGCTTGTGATGATTATGTACTGCAGATGATATTTATAGTCTTCATAATTTTCTGTTGAGGAACCTTATTGTTCTACTATTTGTACATGTAGTTTATTTGCAGTTTAATGAACCTCTGCCCATCTTTACCTCTCATAACCTCTGCCTCTCTAAGATGTTCTTTTTATATCATGTTACTGACCGGCTGCCAATTAACCTCATTAGTTCGTCCATCTGTTTCTTTATAGCACAACTTACTTTTCCTGCCTTTTCTTCCCCAGTCCCAACTTTGTTTGAGTTGCTGGCATCAAATTCAAAATGAGCTAATAAACATATTTTTTATGAAATAGTAAAATTTCTCACTTTAAACATTTGATATGTTTTCTATGTTTTATTGTAAATAGAATATGAAATCACTGCACTCTATTTTTATTTATATATTACATAGGATCCGATCATTTTTTAAAATGTAATTTACTACAGAAAGATAAAATCATATGCATGAAATGACTGGATTGCAGGGGAATGGGTGAAGTCCTTTCACAGCAGAGGTGGGATTCATGGGTAAAAGAAGCCAAAGAGTAAAGATGAATGAACAAATAAATAAAACATACAACACCTGTGGTTTGAGAGTTGTTTATGATTCCACCCTTGTATCGTTGATCAAAAGATAAAGTTTTGTACTCACATATACTCTCTGTGTGCAGAGTGCACAGCTGCTGCATTGCTGTAGCGCCACAGGACGATGGCTGATGACATGACATCCAGCGTGGCATCAAACTACAGAAACGAGAAGCAAGTAATTAGAGAGAAAGAAGTGAGGAAGGTCAAAATTATCCATTGGACCTATACCACGACTCTTTAAATGATCAGATGTCCAGTAAGACGTGTAGACAGCTTTAAATAACTTATTTGTGCTGAAAATAAAACCACTTCATTCTGAAATCCCGTGGAGGAGAATAACGCATTTATTTCAGCACAACAGAATTTCAGCGGGCACATGAACTGACTCAGGTTATGTATGAATAGGGATGAGTGGATGTAAGGATTTAAGAGTCTCATTAAGGCTTATAGTGGAAAAACTGCAGGAACCACTTTCAAGTCTGTGCACCACAAAGAGCGAAGTGTTGATGTTTGGCAGGAAAATCAAAGCCATAAACATCATTAACGCGACAACAGTAGCTTCATGTTGGATTCAGGACTTCTCAGGGAAAAACTTCTCTCCCTGAAGCCGGATCACAAAATAAAATCGTTATTAGTTCATTTTCAAATCATAAAATGTAAAAAGTAAGAAAAGGATGACTCAAAGTCTCACAGAGCTATCGATGATAAGCTGCTATGATCTAACCTCTTTGCATTGGGGCACATCCTCTTATTTTCTTCCTGCTTCTGTTTTAAAACTGTCATCTGCAGCCAAGCAATTAAACTGCTAATTAAAATCCAATCTTTAAGGAAGAGATAGCTAGCTCTGCAGATTATGGTTTATAATATTTTAATCACATTAGGCTAATCACATCTCCCTCCCTGGGCCCGGGTGTGGATATTGTAATTTTCACCTTCACTGCCATTACGTCATATTTTTATGATAATTCTCAGTGATTTCCTCCTAATAAGATTTCCGCTGTGTTCTAGTGGAGATCTGTTTAGCAAACACAAGAAGCATTTTGACATCCAACCACAGCGCCAGCCTCCAGTCCCTTCTCTGCCCTGTTACCTTGGAGACAAAAGGACCAATAGGACTTTGGTACTGGGATTCATTAATAAATCACTAGCACCCAAGTTATGACTAATTGATCAATGCAAATAGAGAGAAGAAAGGGGCGGGAACTTACGGCGAATCCAAATGCTGACGCGCTGTGTCTCATAAACGATACAGCTGTGGAGAGAGAGACGGACTGTTTACATCATACAAGTCTTTATCCCTTTTTAGTCACACTAACATATATGCACATGTGATTCAGCACATGTCACATGCACGATCAGTAGGTTTGTGACGCTAAGTGGGAAACAATGTGTTTATTAAATCAGCATAACAAAATGAAAAGCGACTGTGATTAGATGAGTTATTTCTTAAAAAATCAACACTGATATTCATAAATGTTCTTCCTTTCTATTGAAATCACCAGCACCTCTCACATGCATACACTATATCACTATATCTAGAAACAGGAAATTAAAACCACTGGGTTAACCTGAGCTGGAGTTCAATCAATAAAGAGTTGAAATCTAAATCTTTGTTTATTGTATTCCGTCTTTTTGGCAAATGATTAAGCAGAAAATGCAAGTGCAAAAAAGAACAATTACATTTTTATTTATGATACCACTTATGACATGTGAGCAAATTAAAGGAGTTCTTGGCAGGTTGAACCTTCATCTGATCCAGATTTTTACAGCACTGTCCTTTATAGTCTATAATCCTACTCAGTATCATCCAAAGCAGAACAACAAGCATTAAAAACTAATAGAAAAACACACAGCTCATGTATGTCCATCTGATGATGCTCCAGGCCATCCGAGTTTGATACGTGTAAACTTGGCATGATTAACTGTCTATTAACAACATTAATGATCGGCTAACGCAACATGAAGTATCCCTCGAATAGGATTAAAGGTTTTGTCATCCTTTATCTACCACACCTGTGCTGTTCATCTACCTGTCCTGGTGTGCTGTCCCCTCTTTCTGTGTGAGTGTGTGTGTGTGTGGTAGTGCATGTGTGTGTGAGAGAGAGGGAGACTCTCAGGGGACAGCACATGGTCAGTTTAATCACCATGGCAACAGGAGATTTGAGGGCAAGATGGCCGTTGGTTTGAACTCAAAGCTTTCATCTCCTCTTCGCCAAGTCTTTCCCTTGGCTGGTATCTCCTTTTCTTTTCCTTCCTTCTGGTTTTCTTGTCATGTTCCCTGTTTTATATATATATATATATATATATATATATATATATATATATATATATATATATATATATATATATATATATATATATATATATATATATATATTGTAGCGGAAGCCTTTTGGCCATTTCTGAGACTTTGATGCTTCACAGTGTCAGGTAGGATGTGACCTTATTTGACAAGCTTTAATGACTACAACTGTGTTACAAACTTTTCAATTCTTTTGATGCCCCCAGTATGAGGATAGGATCAGGCTTAGCTGTGCTACAGCTATGCCAACACTGTGGAGAAGAAAGGATGGAAAAGCTGAACAGGAGACCGAAGATAACACGTGGTTGCTCACACATATGCTGTCTTTGTGTCTGGTTTTGTCCCAGATAGCATCACCCAGATTCTCCTCTTCATTCTGAGTCACGTTCACCATCTTTCACGATTATCTGTGCCCTCACGTACAAACTGTTTCACATACAAAGTTTATGAATCTCTGGTGCTCAACCAGACCTCCGACCCATCTGTTGAGTCAAGAGAAAAAGTCGAACTGAGAATGTTTGAGAAAGCTAACACAGGGAAGTCGGACAGGTGGTGACTGCTCAGTCTGTATATACAGTCTGTCTACTATGTATATATACAATACATTATCCCTGGTCCAACATCAAGCTCATAGTTTGTCTTTATTTGAAAAGAGTTCCAGTAGACTGGACATTTCGTCTGAGTTGAGGTAGCTGCATTGGGTTCATTTGGTGACTACACTGTCTCTGTTGCATTTCATAGACAGAAATGATGGCATATTTCATATTGCCATGTGATTGTGCGTCATCATGTTCGCTGTTAGGCATGTAGGAAAGTGCAGGTCGGACACAGCTGGATGGATGGTATCGAGCGTGTATGTGTGTAATGATTAGGGTCTATGTATCAGTTTTAAACTTTAGTTTTGTTAAGCAGTTATATTTGTGACTTGGTGTGACGACTTCACTACCCTTGTGTCAAAACAACAATCAGTGGGGTAGCTGAGTACTCCCCCGCACTGTTCACTAGTTTTTATAGCTCAGTGCTTTGTCCATGCTCATCCTTTTTCCCAGTTGTTGATAGTAAGGTCCTCTCTTCCTCTGGGCTCTCTGTTTACCTACAAGGTGATGGTGGCTTGGCTGGAGAGACTTTTAGATAATCTGTTCCTGGATGTAAAGGCCACCATGTCCGATGCTTCAAATACAAACTTTATGAGGTGCAATCATCCATTTTCATTTTATTACACAGTTTTAAATACAAATAACATCTGTCCAGGACATCTTGGGAAATATCTGACAAACATGCGGTTTGAGAAGTACTGCCCATCACCAGAGGAAGCTATAACAAAGGTAAAGACGTACCCACACAAGAAGGTAAAATCACCTTAGGTATGTGAGGATAGTGTTTTATCACTGATAAGACCCAGACAGGATGTGGATGTGACATCATCATGATTCCAATAACTTAACCGGTCACCATCACCATTAGTTTTTGGTCTGGACAGTACAGTTGAGAGCCTATATTCTACATTTTTACTTCAGTGTGGGGAAAAGAAAACATGTGTAAGATTTTCTCAATATCCTGGAGATGCTCTAGTATCGCGCATCATCATATGCAATTCTACATTATTAGAAAATTAGCTGTGGTGATTGATTCTGTGCTTGGTGCCAGAAATTCAAACAGATATTATTGAAACTGCAGCATATTCAGAAGCAAGAAAAGACTTTTTTGTAATATATGATGCAATCTTTAAAATAGCCAAAATGGTTCACACAGGATAATTATCCACTGAATAAGAGAAAAAATCTGCTTACATCTGCATCTCTTTGAGGAACTTCTCTCTGCATAATATCTGACCTTCTGTCTTCAAATACAAACTGTAAAGCTAACAACATGTTCACTGAGGAAGCAGTTTTCACACATGTATACATACAATGAGCCTGAGATTTTTCTGCTGTATTTAAAATGTATTCAGTGCTTCAAAGAACAGATTCGTCATCTATTAACTCATTTGTTATTGCTGATATTATTCCTCATTCATCATATTTGTCTTTCACTTCATGCCCCCCTTTAATTAAACATGCACTCAGATGAAAAAAAAAACAGAATTCTCCCCTAAATAAAGCTGCTAATTTTTAAATAGCAGCCTCTTTCCTCTCCCAGCATGTATTCATTTCTCCAGTTTCTGCTCTCAGGCTCATTTGGATGTGCCAGCCGTCTGTGTGGTTACCGCCTGCCAGCAAATCGATGCCTCTCTTGAGGTGAGCAGACACGATTCTGTGTAACATCCTCTGGGTTGTTAGTTAATCAGGGAGTCAAGCATGCATGACCAGTGCTAACAAGACTGGGGAAACAAAGAGGGAAAGCAAAGCAGAGTATGGTAGAAATGGAGTAGAAGAAGGAGGATATAAATGAGAAGGAGGAGCAACTAAAAGAAAGGGGGTACGTGCTTACAAGAGAAGGAGGAGAAGCAGCGGACTGGAAGAAAGATGCAGATGTGAGGATTATATAGAGTCCGGGGGAAAATGGGAACGTGAATAAGAGCAAAAATGTGTGTGTGTGTGTGTGTGTGTGTGTGTGTGTGTGTGTGTGTGTGTGTGTGTGTGTGTGTGTGTGTGTGTGTGTGTGTGTGTGTGTGTGTGTGTGTATTCATATCTTCCAAAGATTGGAAGTTTACTTAGATACTTGTGGGGACCAACAGCCCTTATAGGGACAAAAATGCTGGTCCCCACAAGTTTAAAGACATATGTGTGACTCAAAATGTGGTTTTAGTGAAAGGGTTATAATTGGGTCATGGTTAGGTTTACGGTAAGGGTTAGGTATTCGTCTTTCATGGATACGGTTAGGTTAAGGGGCTAGAGAAAGCATTATGACAATTGGATGTCCCCACAATTAGATGTGTGTGTTTTATACATAAAATGTTTGCACAGAGAAAAAAACCTGATAGCTTGGAAGTTCTTAATTGTGATTCTTCTGTGTTGCAGTATTTATTTTGAGGAAAACACAGTTCTAATAAGAACAGTCTAACAGTCTGACAATCTTCTATTCTATTTGCTAATAGTCCACTTTGATGTCCTGTCAACACCTGCATACCTCATAGCTGTAGCAATGGTTATGACTTGGCAGCAGTAAAAACCTAATTATCAGTGAGTTATACAAGAACTGGGGCCAGAGCCAGCACCAATATATTCTCTCTCTCTGGCTCTCTGGCTCTAGTCTTCCCTTGGCACTGATCACTGATTATAAGCAGGACTTGGATGAAGCAGCATCTGATCAGACATCACTTCCAGACCAGGCTTTGAACTCTTGGGGGTGTTGAGGACCAGCGAGCGAGACATGGTGGAAGCATTCATAATGACTACCGGTATTAATAGTTTCTGAGCTCTGTTGTCCTCTGCTTGAGGCAATATGCAGAAATGAAAATATAAATGATAAAAGCTTACAGACTATATTGGACAGACTTCCCCCTTTCTAATGGTTTGTTGGTGCTCTTTAAAGCTCGTTTCCTTTGGTTTCTGCTTGGTGCAAATTTTTCTTACTGCTCTGACTTTTCATTGTTAAAATGGTAAATGGTCTGTATTTGTAAAGCGCTTTACTAGTCCCTAAGGACCCCAAAGCGCTTTACACATCCAGTCATCCACCCATATTCACACACTGGTGATGGCAGCTACATTGTAGCCACAGCCACCCTGGGGCGCACTGACAGAGGCGAGGCTGCCGGACACTGGCGCCACCGGGCCCTCTGACCATCACCAGTAGGCAACGGGTGAAGTGTCTTGCCCAAGGACACAATGACCGAGACTGTCCAAGCCGGGGCTCGAACCGGCAACCTTTCTATTACAAAGCAAACTCCCAACTGTTGAGCCACGATCGCCCCTGTTAAAGATTTTGCCTCTGTGAGAATAGCATGCAGCTAATATTGGACTTTGAATAACTGGACAAAAGAAGAAGAGTCGTGTTTTCTGCAGAAGCAA